ATAACAGCTCCTACTAAGGCATAAAAACTTCAGTAGAATGGCTTGAAATACTGGAATCGGACGTGTGTTCATGAGTGAGAAGAATTTTTTAATGGTTGATCCTCCCAAAGAAAAAGTGCATGTTATTTTTAAGACCAGGTGAAAGACAGAGAGACTTGTTATCAGGTTACTTAAGGGGCATAATCAGGGTCGCTAGCTGCCTCTCAGGATTGTGACAATGAGTTGAAAATACTCAGAGCACGCAGAATCTGGACGTGGTGCGTGTATTACACATTCCATCGTCGTCAGCATCAGCTGGCGTAACTTGTAGAACCCGAGAGGTGGAGGAGGGGGCCCCATGGTCTTCAGCTTCCTTTTGCTTTCACATTCAAAGGAAGGCCTTACTGCAGCTCCGTGGGGCTGGGCCTCGGTGCCGTGTTAACAGTGTGAATGCAGTCAGTGAAGTCTTGACAGTGGGCGCTCTTAGTTCTTCTTCCCTCCTGAGACCCCTGCGCCTCCTAGTTCGTATGTTAAACTTTCATGCGCAGTAAAGTGGATTCACTGTGACGGGTGGAAAGTTCTGTTTTGACGAAGGTAGAGAGTCATGTACCCACCACCGCAGCGCTGGACCGAGTGGTCCCGTCACCCTGCAAATCCCCGGTATCAGACGCAGCTTCCTCCCCCAACCTGACAACCACCAGGGTGTCATAAGACCCGGCTCAGGCAATGAATCATTTTTAGGGTCTGGCTTCTTCCACTTCACAAAACACACTTGAGATTCGCCCTTGTTGCGGGGGATGAACCAGCCTGCTCCTGTTTGTCGCTGCCTAGTGCTGTATTGTGTGGATGCGCCGGAGTCGGTTATCCGTACACACAGTGCAGGGCATCTTGCTTGCTTCCGATTTTGGCAATTATTAATAAAACTGCTAATAAACATTTGCATATATAGTTCTGCATGCACCTAACTTTCCAGTTTACTTGGGTGAATACCTAGGGCATGAGTTCTAGGCCGTATGGTAAATCTATGTTTACATTATTATTATTTTTTTAGATTTTATTTATTTATTTTTAGAGAGGGAAGGGAGGGAGATAGAGAGAGAAAGAGAGAGAGAAACATCAATGTGCGGTTGCTGGGGGTCATGGCCTGCAACCCAGGCATGTGCCCTGACTGGGAATCCAACCTGCGATGCTTTGGTTTGCAGCCCACGCTCAATCCACTGAGCTACACCAGCCAGGGCTTATGTTTACATTATTTTAAAAAAACTGCCAAGTGCCTTCCAGAGTGGCTGTGCATGGGAAGCAATGCACAGGCATTTGTGAGGGGTTGGTATTATTTCTTATTTAAATGTTGGATAGGCTACTAGTGAAGCCATCGCAGCCTAGGTTTTCTCGGTGGGGAGATTTTAACTTGATAATTCACTATCTTTGCTGCCCTAGTTGGACTAGTTAGTTACAGGTGGGGTGTAGGTGGGGGCCCAGAGTGGCCCTGTTCTTACCCGAAGTTCCTGGCCTTCCGGAGTAAAGCTTCCTAGTCCACTCCATGCCTTTGGGCTCTGTCCAGAGCACTGAAGGAGCTGGCTTTGACAGTTCCGTCCAGGTTTATGCTTGCCTGTTGGGGAGAGGATTTGTCAGCGCCCTCCTGCTGAAGTCCTGCTGGGTGGGCACCCCCCCCCCACCCCACCCCCATCTGCAAACAAACACAACAGGATAGCCTCTCAAACACTCTTGCCCCAGCCCTAGCCACGACGCCATTTCCCTCCCTTGGGGGTAACTTTCCTGCCAGACTTCTCTCTGTCCTCATCCCCCCCCCCCCCACCCCCCACACAGCTCCACCCAAACTCAGAAATCGCTGTTGTCAAAGTCACCAGTGTTTGCCACATTGCCAGATCCAGACCTGTTCCCAGTCTTCCTTCTCCTTGGACTGTCCGGCAACACTGGACACAGGAGGTGACCGCCGCACCGATGAAACTCTTTCCCCTGCCTCTCTGGCCTTGCTGACACCCCAGGTGCTCTGTCCCCCCCAACCCCCCACATTTCCGCCTTACACTGACTGCCTCCCCTCCGCCCACAGACATCTGCTAGCACTTGTTTTCGGTTCACACCGTCTCCTGAACACCAGTCCTATCTAATTCCCAGACTCCTGTTTTCTGCAAACCCACCCAGTCTTCCTGGTGAGTCTTGGCAACTTCTTGGAGGCCTTTGGATGACTCCTCGTAGGTCACGACCACTTCGCCCACCAAACATGCTGGCTTCCGTTTATACTCACTCAGGATCCAGCCACTCGGTCACCCCTAGTCCAAGCCATCCATCTCTTTCCCTGAGTTGTTACGATTGTCCCACAATGGGTTTCCTTCATCTGCCCTGTTTCCTGACAGGTGAGTGTGTTTTTAATGCATCTTTTAGTGTAAAGACTTTCTTTCAGTGTAAATCCGATTCTCACGTCTGCCTGGACTTCTCCACGGCTTCCCGCCAGGTAAAAGGCTCCAGTCCTGAGAGTGGCCGGCACGGCCCTACTCCGTCCGCCCCCCTGGCCTCATCTGCTGGTCATTCTGGAAGTCGCTCTGGTCCCCTGGGCGGTCAGCAGCCTTGCCAGGCCTGCTCCTTTCTCGGGGCTTTTGCATCTGCTGTCCTCGGCCCAGAGTTTCCTTACACTGGCTCTCTGCACGACTTCCCGATTCCCCGCCACCTCAGGTCCCGGGTCACCTCCCACCTGTGCTGTCCCAAGCCTCACTGAGGGCCCTATGCAAACTCACAGCTCCCTCTGCAGCGGCGCCCCCGCTGGCCCTCTCTCCTGGGTTCTTCTCCGGAGCACTGGTACCGTGTGACACATTATGACAGTGTGTCATCTTGTCTGTGTGTCCCCGCTACAACCAAGCTCCATGAGGGCAGACGGTTCGGTCTGTTTACTGCTGTGGGCTGGAGTGGCGTTTGGTGTCTGGTGTGTGTGCGCGCGCGTGTGCGTGTGAGTGGGGCAGGGGCTGCGCTGGCCTCCTCGGTGCTCCTACCCGTCCTGACTGTTCCCACCCTGTTGCACCCAAGCCCGTGCCACGTCGCGCGCCCTCAGTTTTTCTCTCCTTGGTTCCTGTGTATTAGTCTTCCCCCAGACACGGAACTCCCTAAGGGAGAAGTTCAGCACATGCTCACTGCTACGAAATGCCCTTCCCAAATCTCAGGTAACAGGGAAGCGAGGATGTGAAATCTACACACCAGAGACAGATGATCGCGGAGGACCGTGAGGCTAGGTTAAGATTAGAGTTTTGCCAGCGACCGTCGCCCAGAGGTTCAGCTCACAGACCGGCGTAAACTGCACAGTGGGGCAGAGCCTGACCACAAGGCCTGAGGTCGTCCTGGGGGGCGCATTGCAGGGTGGGACCGGTGAGGAGACTCATGGAAACATCTTCCAGGGCCATCTGGGTTTCTCTGTCCTAATTTCCTGCTCACTGTGCAACAGGCTGATTCACTCATCAGCGTCCCAAATACTGTAGTGTGTCCCAGGCCACTTTGTTATTAAATAGTCCAGTTTTCAGTCCATCACGGGGCCATCTTTGGTTTTCCTGTGAGGTCAGAGGAGCCGAGGCAGGGCTGCGGGAAACACCCCCACACGATGCTATTCTCCTCTCCCTGGTCTCCAGTGCAGAATGTAGTCCAGAGACATCTCTCCCGGGTGAATGCATCTGCAGAGAGGCAAGGGCAAGGGGTGTAGGCCATTTTCAGTGCATCCCGTGCCTGGTCGCTGTTATCATGCCTGATGGAAATTATCTACTCTAGATCTCAAAGATCTAGAAGAGTAAGTCATTCTGAGTGGTGCATGCATGTTTTCTTAATAGAAATGTGTGCCTGTAGCGAGAACAGTAGATAGGTTGTTTGGGAGTTGCTACCCCTTCTAACCTGGATGCACACCCCAAATAAGAAAGTGCGATCACGTAACAGGCCCTCATTTTAGAGGCACGCACGCAGTTCGAGAGCTCCGCGCCACGCACAGCCCTGGGCCGTGAGCCGGCCCCTGAGCCCCGGCCTTCCGGCCTCACTCCTCCTCCGTGCTGCTGCAGTACGGCTTTCCTCTTTGTTGCTGCAAAGCTTTGTCTCTTGAGGGTAAATTTTTTTTTACCCTCACTACATTTTAATGTAAACTACATTAACCCTCATTACAATTTCAATGTTTGAAAACCACCAAAAGTCTTTCAGAGGCCAAGTCACAAATAAGGTGGATGATCAGATTTCATAGTCCCCTGCCCGTCCAAAATGAGCTGGCTCTAACAAGAATGTTTTCCTTATGTTGCAGCTAACAGCCTAGAAATGCATTTCCAAACTGCACACACACACAGCAGAGACTAGGAATGATGGAATTAGAATGTCCGGTTTGCTTCATCTCACACCCACACAACAGTCTCAGAGCAACAGCACTCGTGCTACTATTAGTCATTATGATTACTGAAACATTTAAAAAAAAATAACTGGATATGCTTTCTCATTCTGGCTCCTGCTTTTCACACACACACACCCTTTTTTTTTTTTTTGGTTGCATGAAATCTGTGTAAGTTCATTTTGAATCATGTGGCCATCTTAGATTGTACTCGCCCTCCAACCCCGTTTGGACTTGAATTTCTACGTAGCTGTAGATTTCCCAAGCACCAGCAGTTTGCACATCCGTGTCTCTCTGGTCATTCTGGTCTGAAGCTTGTCCTGTAGTTGCAGGGGCGGCAACATTTTTCTGAAAAGGGCTCGACAGCAACATTGAGGCTGTCAGGGCCAAAAATGACCCTGACACACACTTATGTGTGTGTTTGTTAACAAACTGAAGCCATTCTTAGCTCAGGGGCTGTGCGGATACACCTCCGGCTGCAGGTGGCCAGCCCCCGCCCCGGCGGCCCGCTCAAGAAGGGCTCTGGGAGCCAGTGTCCGCTTTGCTGGATATAAAGTTCTTGGGTCACATGAAGATGGGCTGAGTGTTATTCTCCTTGTGAGTTGCTTGCTCTTCTTGCCTAGATGCCCAAGGGACTTTCTTCTCTTTTCCTTTACAGTCCAGTTGGTGTTGGTCAATCTGGGTTGGTGTTCTCAGGTATGTGGTGTGTTATTTTTCAATGTGTCATTTCAAGCCTCGTTTGGTTTTTTGAGTTCTTTTATCTTTTTCTTTTTTAGAATAACACAGACAAAGCTTTATGTGTTGGTGTTTGACAATGTCCACAATACATTTTTTTAACCTTATAATTTTTTAAATCATTACTTTTATTTTCCCAGCTTTATTGAGGTATAATTAACAAATAAAAATTACATATGTTTAAGATGTACCAGTGATGTTTTGATATGCATATACATTGTGAATACCTCAATCATGCTGATTAACGTGTCTGCCATCTCACATAGTTGCTGTGTGTGTGTGTGTGGTGAGGTCACTGAGATTTACTCTTCGAGATTATTTCGAATGTACAATAGTCTTATTAACTCTAGTTACTACGGTATGTATTAGAACGCCACAGCTTAATTCATGCTGCATGTTAGCTGTCTGTACTCTTAAACTGTTCTTTATTTATAGTTTTCAGTGTTTATTTCCATGCACTGGTCTTCTCATTGTAAGAACTCCTGTTATTCATGTGTTGGATCTCCTTCCATTAAAATAGGCTTATACTATTCACCCCTATCTCTCAAATGCTCTACCTCCTCATTTCTGAGTTCTGCAATTTTGACTTAGGCCATACTCCCCATTGTCCTAGTGACCTTTAGCTCATTTTGATTGATTTCATCTCTGGGCGTGTCTTTTTAGCATGCTTTCATTGTCTTTATCTGAGGGTTTTCCTAAGTTTTGGAAGGAAGTGTGGTTCAGGGTAGTTTTTCTGGCTTCACAGAACTCCTCAAACATTGGACTCGTATTGGACACTTACCCTCTTTTTCATTTTCACAAACTTGCTTCGTATCTCAGTCTCCACCTCAAAACTCAGCTGGCAGATGGGTGTCATCAGCAGGGTGTGGAACAGTCCTGTGCACACTGAGCTACGCTGAGCGAGTAGTTAGTTCCTAGAGCCTGAAGCGTGGCAAGTGTCGCAGTTTCAGATGTGAGACACCCCGCTGTGCCCCGGGAGTTGCTGTGATGCCTGTGACACTTGGGCCTACAGTCGAGGTGACGCTGATGCTGATCTGTAAACCACACTTGAGAAACCAGTAGGACTTTTAGCTGCTTTAAAAAAGTACAGCCGTGGCTGGTGTGGCTCAGTGGGTTGAGCGCGGGCTGCAAACCAAAGGGTCACCAGTTCAATTCCCAGTCAGGGCACGTGCCTGGGTTGCGGGCCTGGTCCCCAGGAGGGGGCATGCAAGAGGCCACCACACACTGATGTTTTTCTCCCTTTCTCTTTTTATCTTTCCCTCTCTCTAAAAATAAGTAAATAAAATCTTTCTTAAAAAGTACAGAAAAAAATTTTCAGTTACACTGCCATCCAAGAAGAAAATTTCTTCCTTTGGACCCATGTACTCAAACAGTCAAGCAGATTGATTAAAAAGAACTCAGTATGTTCAGATCGGTTTGGAAACAGGTGTGTGTGTGTGTATGTGTGTGTGTGCATTTGTGCATGTGCACGGGTGTGAGAAAGAAGTCTCACTGGCTGGTGCATGTTCACTTACGTGTATGCTGCAGAAACCAGCATGTGTTTCTTTGCCCTGACCTAGTGACCTTACTGGGGAGGGAGCTACTCTGAGTTGATGAAAAGGAGAGAGAGCATGCTTGCATGCTTATTGACCCTGCTGTTTAAAGGACATCATTCAGTGGTAAATTTGAATTCAGTCTTGTGACCTAGTTCCCAAATACAGCCCGTCAGCCTGCCAGATAATGTTTTTTAATACAGAAAATTGTGTGTCTTTTAAAACAAGGCAAAGAATGGATGTGGTAGGAAAAGCCAGATTTTCCTCCACACCAAGATCCATCTTGCACAGAACCTTGGCGGTAATTCCAAGGAAAACTTGCCCCTACTTTATACCATACTGAAGAGAAGGCAAGCTTGACCTGAAAGCAGTCAACTGCTTACAAGTGATGTGACAGGTGCAGCTTCCCTCCTGCTAACGAGCTGAAGGCTGTGCGCTGCTCTCCTTTGTGCTTTGTCATTATGAGGCTAAAAAGCAAGCACTAGAAAACGCACAGAAGACACCCTTCTCCTCATCCTTTCTCCCTCCACGATCTCAGGAAATGAAGGCAGCTGTCCTTGTCCCCTTCTCTCCCCCAATCCCTCTTCTAATTAAAAAAAAAAAAAAAAATCTGGCAATTGATACTAGATGGACTGTTGCTCAGTGCGGGGTGCAGAGAGCTCTGCAGAAAGCCAGAGCCCGGCTTCCCAGGTAACATCTAAGAGAAGCGGGAGATGGGCCAACCTGGCCATTTCTTCTCCTAGCAGAGGGGTCTGGAGCAACGGCACGCGAGAGCAGCAGCCTGCTCTAACCGGCTCCTCTGCAGGGCCCACACCGGCTTTCCAACATGCGCTTCTTCACAAAACCGGTCTTCGATATACAGAAAGAGGAATGGGGATTTTGTTTGAGCTCTGCTTTCCTAAGACTGGGTGTATAAATTATGAAGGCAAATCACAGGTTGGAGGTCATAAAGAGCATCTGGTTTTCACTAATAAAGGTGTTTTTACCTTAAGAGAATTATCTTAGTTCTCGGAGACCAGTTTTTTTCTTAATATTTTAGCTTTGATTTAGAGGGCGGGGGAGGGAGGAAGAGAGCGCAAGAAACACGGAATGTGCGAGAGAAACATAAACTAGCTGCCTTCCACCCGTGCCCCAACCGTAAGTCACACCAGCAACCCTTCGGTTCAAGGGACAGTGCCCAACCAGCTGAGCCACGCCAGCCAGGGCTCTGAGAGCAGTTTTAACAGCAGCATTTCAGTTTCCCATCCTAGTGGAAAGGTGGAGCCTGGGAACTCCTCTAATCCACCTGTGCTAGAGACAGCATTGCCCTGCACTCAGGTCTCTGCTTCTGGGGACCGCAGCTTGCCTTCTGGTTGAGCTGGGTGAAAATGGAAGAAAGGCCAGCGAAGGAGCCGAGCGTGTAATTGTGCTTTCCCTTCCTTTTCCTGTGCAGCGTGTCCCATGGGAAACGGCACGAGCAGACTCTATAGTGCTCTCACCAAGACACTGAACAGCAGCGCCGCCTCCCAGTATTTGGAGTCGCCTGACCCGGAACACCTGGAGCCCATCGACCCTAAAGAGCTCCTTGAGGAATGCAGAGCCGTTCTGCACACGCGCCCTCCCCGGTTCCAGAGGGACTTTGTGGACCTGAGGGCAGACGGCCCCAGCAGCCACCCGCCGATGAGGGTCATGCAGTGGAACATCCTCGCCCAGGGTATGCCTGGTGCTTGTGTGCCTGAGCGGTCAAGCTGGCTTTCCGCTTCTGCACACGCCCCGTGCCCCGGGTCCTTCCGTGGAGGGAAGAGGAGTGGGCAGAGGGAGGTGTGCGGGCTGGGGTGACAGGGGCAACATGAGCTGCCAGAAGGGGGAGTCGGGCCAGCCTGTCCTCTGGTTTTCACTAAAAATGAATCCAGCAGCTCGAGACTGATCCCTTAGCTTCCATGTTTGTGGGCCATCCAGGTGCCATGAAAGTCCATCTGCTTCCCAGCACAGCCAAATCGAGAGGACCCTGTCTTTTATCAGCCTCAGAACTTGGTCGTCTCCAGCTTTCAGTCCACAGCACTAAGATAGCATTTGCAGGGGAGAAACTGAATCTCCTGAATGGGTAGCCCAGAACTTTCCACAGGGAATGGGACTTCCCGATCTTTGGTTCAGTCCCCCCCCCCCCCCCCAAGATGTTCATCCGTGAGTAGGAAAAGCTGCCCATTTGAAATGGGTCATCCATTGGAGCAGTGCCCGCATTGATTCAGGAGGCTTATTATAGTCAGCATTGAAACAAGTATATCGAGTTAAATACATTTATTTCACCTGATGTAGTTTAGACCCCCAGAACTACAAAGAACAATTAAAACTTTAAAGTAATATGTCCTTGAAATAGTTTTAATATAAAATAAAGTCAGTTGCTTGCCTTCTGTGAGAGGTAAGAGGTTCTTTGGTTTGGTGGGGTGTTTTAGGCAGAGAATCTCCCACAGCTTCTGGAGCAGGAAGCATCCAGAGGGTCTTCAGTGAACTCCAACCCAAGGAGACCACCCCCCCCAGACACTAAGAAGTCATAGTCTGTAGTGGCTGACAACTGAATGGCTTTTTTGTTTCAGCTCTCGGAGAAGGCAAAGACAACTTTGCACAATGCCCTCTGGAAGCACTCAAGTGGGAAGAAAGGAAATGTCTCATCCTAGAGGAAATCCTAGCCTACCAGCCCGATATATTGTGCCTCCAAGAGGTGGACCACTATTTTGACACCTTCCAGCCCCTCCTCAGCAGACTGGGCTATCAGGGCACGTTCTTCCCCAAGCCCTGGTCCCCTTGCCTGGATGTAGAACATAACAATGGACCGGATGGCTGCGCCTTGTTTTTCCTCCAGAACCGATTCAGGCTCCTCCACAGTGCCAATATCAGGCTGACGGCCATGAGGCTGAAAACCAACCAGGTGGCCATTGCACAGACGCTGGAGTGCAAGGAGTCCGGCCGACAGCTCTGCATCGCCGTCACCCACTTGAAAGCACGCACCGGCTGGGAGCAGTTTCGATCGGCTCAAGGCTGTGACCTCCTCCGGAACCTGCAGAACATCACCCAAGGAGCCAAGATTCCCCTTATTGTCTGCGGGGACTTCAATGCCGAGCCAACAGAGGAGGTCTACAAACACTTCGCTTCCTCCAGCCTGAACCTGAGCAGCGCCTACAAGCTGCTCAGTGCGGACGGGCAGTCGGAACCCCCGTACACCACCTGGAAGATCCGGACCTCGGGGGAGTGCCGGCACACCCTGGACTACATCTGGTACTCCAAGCACGCTCTGAGCGTGAGGTCAGCGCTGGACTTGCTCACCGAGGAACAGATTGGACCCAACCGGCTACCGTCCTTCCACTACCCCTCAGACCACCTGTCTCTAGTGTGTGACTTCAGCTTCAATGAGGACCCTGATGCCCTTTTATAAACGCTTATCTGCGTCTTTTTACTCACAAGAGTCTTAACCTCAGTGGCCCGAGGAAGGGCTCCCAGTTCCTCTCGCTTCACCTTCCGTGTTTCCAGCATGCCCTTGGGAAGGAATCCCACCAGTTCACAAACCTTTCCCATTAAAACCTACAGCAAAAAGGTGTCTGCACTCCACTTTTGGGTTGTATGGTCTTCTTTCCCCTAGCGTTACCTTTAGATCCGTTAAGGGCATCAAGTTAGGCTTGTTCTGAAGCTTTCAGTTTGATGATGCTGTATACAAAAATACTTCCTTGAGTCCTCCGTAATTAACAAGTATGCAGGAGCCATTTCTCTAGACAGTGTTTCAAATAATTTATTTGAGGTTTTAAATGTCAACGGGATATGCATGGCAATATTTATTTTTTTATACCTTTGTGTAAAATTAGTAAATTGTAGGTAGCATACACATTTCAAAACCATGCAAAACGTAAGTTATAATTTATAGTAATTTCCTTAAGGCTTTAAGATGTTTTCACCTGGGGTCTAACAAAACAGTGTACAAAGGAACTAGGTAGCCTGGCGGCCCCGGGGTTTTGCTTGTTTAAGTGGCAGTATCAGCTCTTCTTGGTAAGTTCTTCATCACCATTCTTACTGTGCCTCCATGTCCCCATTGCCGTGTTTCCCGAGGAGATCCCATGACCAGTCTTCGTTATCTCATCACTGTTGTGCATTTACAGTTTCCCATCGGAATGCTATCAGCATACATTTGAGGTCACTCAGTGTCATCATTGTTCGTATCAGGATGAGCTTTTTCCAGTAGGTCTCAGGAGCTGTTCTGTGCAGTGCCTGGGAAAGTCAGTGGGACCTTCTTTTCAGAGATGGGAAACTAGGAAAACCTCTTTACGAGGCCATCATTGACATTTCCTAAGACAACCAGGGAATGTGTTCAGAGCATCTAGAAATAATGTAAAAAGATAACCTGAAATTTTCTTTCATTGGGGGAAAAAGACGGTACAGTCCCTTCGAAACAAAATACCCAAAAATAACCTATTGGTAATAAAGTGATAAATATTTTAACCCATGAGTTGTGTATATTTAAGATTAATAAATGGTCTTTTAAAAGTAATACTTTTGACTTGCTTTTTTTTTTCAGTCCAAAATCGCAACAGATTTGATCTTTTAATACTGTTAAGGTGGTGGCCCACACTAGCCATCTGCACACAGATCCTCGTTTTCCAAAGTGGACGAAGGCGGGCCTGGAGCTGCACACTGAAGGCATCTCTGCTGTGCTTGCATGGTACCTCTCAGTGTCACGGCTGGAGCTCCCCAAGCGGTCCGCCCAGAGATGCCACATAGAGCTACTTTGGAAACGAGAGTCAGTACACTGTACACAGAAAACCTTGGGGCTAGCAGAAAGCAATGGCAAGCAGAAAGAACATCTGTACCATTTGGTTCAAATCTTAGCGGGATGAACAGTAATCCTAAGTGGCTGAGAAACACAGCACTGCTTAGAACACTTACCAAGTACAGGCATTAAACATTGTTTGCCTACCTCCAAGTACACCAGCCTGAAGAGATTATCACAGCAGCCTTGAGTAAGCGAAACCCAGTGAGGAGAGCCAAAATGGTATTTGAATTTCAAATGTTGTTCACCAATTCAGTCATCTGCCACTTAATGATAGGGGCACGTTCTCAAAAGTGCATCATTAGCAGGTTTCACCGTCACATGAACATCATAGAACATACTTACACAAGCAGAGATGGTCTAGCCTACTACACACCTACGCCTATTGCTCTGCAGGGAAGAAAAATAACATTCCCTCTATCCTTTTAGTTTTTTGGGTGAGACAATCCTGTGATACAAGATTAGAAAGATAAAAAGTTTTAGAACAGGAATACCTCCTTTCTACATGGGAAGAGACCCAGGAATAGTAACTCACCACGTTGGCTGAGGCCGGCACTGCAAACACCATTTTCAACTGCAGACAGGATGTGAGCGGCAGGAGCCAGGTGTGGGCCACCAGGGAGAAACAACGAGTGAGGCAGTCGTGGAGAGCTTGGCGTAGCAAATGGTTCCTGGCAACACCATTTACTGAACTGCACACATTTCAGAAGAGTTTGGTTGGATATTCAGGAAGAAACAGCCAATTGGCAATCAGACAAACCCATCTAAGGCTTTGAGTCTAGGCTACACCACGACATTTGGTAGTGAAAATTGTATTCGTGGGTGAGATTATCGAACAATCATGTCAAGGTGAAATCCTACGAGTAAACATTTAATAGAGTGCTTTACACGTGCTGGACACTGACTGGTTCTAGGTCCTGATCGTGAACTCAATTCTTACACATGCCCTATGAGGAAAAGAGCCCCACAGAGAGAATCTGGGTAAATACTAACAGTAATTGGGAAAGCAAAGCCAACGAAGAATTGGTCAGGGGTGGAAAGCCGTGAGGGGTATTACAGAAAACTCAAAGAGAAATTTTCAGGTAGAAAAGAAAAGAAGGAATCTATTTGATTTGACTAATGGGTACTACACACCTCAACGAGAACTGTTCGTGAGAATTCAGACTGCAAGTTACTTAAGAAAAAGAACGATGGGTCATTAACTGTTGGAACAAGGAAACCAAGGTGTGAAAGAGGAAATGCCAGGTACAGGATACACCTGCCTCCTTCCACTGACAGGTGGTGAGGATGGATGCTGGAGTGAGCAGAGGGTCTTAACAGCAAGGGCTCTGGAAAGGGGGCTAGTTGACAGCTCAAGCCTCCCTCCATGTTCTCTGGTCATTTGGTAAGCAGGGTGGTGAAGGCTGGAATTGTTGCTGGAAGATGACCTGAGGGATAAATTGTTCATAAGCCTGGTGAGGCTGGAAAATGGATGTGTCAAGCTATTATGTGGTTCTTCTCCAATATGGACACAAAACGCAAATATTGGGTTGTCCAAAAAGTCCATTACATTCTTTCCATACCATGGCTCTAGTAGTGCTTAGTTGCCTTTAGCTTCATTCAACACAATCCTGTTAGACTGTATTGTGACAGCTGCCGTATCAGTATGCATTTTTTTTAGTATGCATTTTAAAAAAATCTATCAACATTGGTGAATTGTGCAACCATTTTAATATTGAAGATGGAAGAAAATACACCTCATTTTCAGCATGTTATGCTTTATTATTTCAAGAAAGGTAAAAATGCAACTGAAATGCAAAAAAAAAAAAGATTTGGACAGTGTATGGAGAAGGTGCTGTGATGGATCAAACATGTCAGAAATGGTTTGCGAAGTTTCTTGATACTACTGACACTTGGGCCAAATAACTCTTTGCTGTGGGGCTGTTTTATGCATTGGAAGATGTTGAACAGCACCCCTGGCCTCCACCCTCTAGAAGCCAGTAGTAGGAGATAACTGACACACTCAAAATAGCCAAATCAATAAAGTTATTGGTGAAAATGAAAATGTGCCTTTTATTTTATGGAAAGAAATGTAACAGACTTTTGGCCAACCCGATACAATTTATGGTTCAAAAGGTCTGAGATTAAATACCATGCAGCTAGTAATGTCAATCCCCAGAAAAAAACTCCGATCAGTATATACTGTCAACAGGTGTTTCCAGATCTAGGCCATCGGTATACTTATTCTGAAAGAAATACACAAGAAATGTTCGGGTACAGCAGTGGAGGAAGCTAGGCAGTAGCCCTGACAACCTCATTAGAACCAATTAATACAGCTAGAGAGAAAATTTAAAATTACGAAAAATTTAAGTTTCTTTAGCTACCTTCTATAGCACATGACTTACACTCTTAACAAATGTTACCAAAATCAGTCAGTGCCTGTGGCTGACGTGCTCGGCACGTGTGGAGAGGTGTAGGTATGGTATAGTCTCTAACCTTATGCCCTACAGTGGCATGAAAGACACGACTCCACAAATGAACCTGCAGTGCAAGAGAGAAAACTGCCGAAGCACAGAGTGCAGATTCTGAAAGCTGAAATATTTAGGAAATGTTTAAAGAGGTAGAATCTGAGATTAACTCTCAAATGGGATAAGAATCAGGAGAGTTTTTCTTTGACTTTTTATTAAAAAGTACCATTGGGTATGTTTATGGAAAAGGTAAAAGATTACAAAGGGAGCTATTATAAAAATCATCAACTTAAGAAGTATCAGATGAAATGCACAATTAAAGGCCACAAAATATTAAGCATCAGTTTATTTAAATTTCTAAAAGATGTAAAAATAGACAACTTTTCTTTGTAGTAGAAAGAACATTAAGATGTAGAGTCACACAACCTAGTCTGGTGTGAAACTAGGAAATTCATGTAATCCTCTGGTACCTCCAACTTCCTAATCTGTAAAAGACCTAGAGTATTATTACTTGTTCTTGTTAAGCCTCAAAAAGTATGACTGAGAAACAAATGGTCTTGATTTAAAATATAAATTCTTTAGGTGTGGCCAAATGAAAACAGTAAAGTCATTACGGTAAGTATAACATTGTACTTCATGATAGTGATTAGAACGGAAGTGGCAACATGCAGTTATTTACCAAATATGAATACAAAAGGAAAAGAAGGATTCCTTACGCAGTAGTTAAGGAAGGAGAAAGAGGATTTCTACTCTTAACTAAAACGATGTCTCTATTCTAGCTTTTGAATATTGTTATAAATATCACCAGAGACCAAAATGCAAGATAAATTTCTATATTTCAGAAAACCTACTTGAATACACTTTGAAACAAGAGTACAACAAAATAGAATATACTTCAAATGTTGAATATACAAACTATTATAGTTCAAATCTGAACACTGGTACTTTCCCTCTTAAATTTCAACTTAAAAAAAAAAAAAAAGGAAGAAAGAAAACTCCAGGTAGTAAGCATTACCTGACAGAAATTCATGCTGAGCCGAAACGGGTGTGCGCACACAGACGCCAGGGCTAAGAGAGTGAGTGACACAGGCATGTTATAGCAAAAGGCCAGGGCCAACTGTTAACTTGTCAACAATCAAGGAACTGACAGACTTAAACTACCATATAAAATGTTACATGTAAATTCTATAACAATACTGTGCTAGGTACAAGGTTTTTAAAATTTTCCTTTTAATAAAAAAAGCTTTACACAAACAAGCCATTAGCTTATTTCAATAAAGAAAATCGAAAATTAGTCTAAGGCCTTTGTTTTAAATCAGCTTAAGCTATATGATATAAAAAAAAATCGCACTAGATCTTTTTTGCTATCCTCTCTGAAACTTTTGGATCCAGTCAATTCACATTCTAAAATACCTATATTAGCAGAGTCTTCACATAGCACCAGTTAAGTGAGTTCTGTGTGAACACAGTAATATTTGCTGGTATGCATATAAAATGCATCAAAAATCGCTCTGTGTAACAATGAGATCACCCATCCCAACCCCTCCCCACTGAAAACTATGACCTCTTACAGAATGTTAGTGTTCCAAGTCTTAGTGTAACTTGATATTGTAGTGAGTTGCTTGGTCCCTTTCAATCCGTATTCTTATTGGCGGGTTCAGTTGTTTCCTACTGTAAGAGGCAGTTTTCTGTCAGCATCTCAGTATGTAGTTCACTTCCCACTGAAACATGGGATAGGTAACTTGTTTCCAGTAAGTTTGATTGTTTTCCTATATGCATTGAAAGTTTTAAAGTCTCCTTTTGACTTTTCTTGATGACATCCTTTGCAAATATCCGTGTTGGTACGAGCACTAACAGTCTCAAGTCCACGGCAGAGCTGCTATTTATTTCTCACACGTCACCAGTCCTTCCGTTTTCATCGTTACAGGAAGGGCAATGGCTGAAGGCGCACTGACTACCACCACGTGGGTCACTGTCTTATTCCCATCTGCCGGTTTTTCTTCTTGTACCAGCTGCAAAGTTTTCACATCGTGTTCCTGCTTTTTTGCCACTGCCTCTGATTTCACCTCTGGCCCTTTTATGACTGCACTGATAACTCGGGGAGGAGTCTGGCCAGAGGACTGCTGAGCAGGCACTGACAGTCTCATTACAGGTGCACCGTGGGCTATGGAAACAGGCGTAAGTGCTCTCACAGCCAGTGGGGTGCCAACAATGTTAATGCTTCCTGATCCTGTCAGATTTGACTTTGTCTGCAGTTGACACTGTGCAAGTTGTGTAGCTGGGATGGTAATAATTTTGGCAGGCTGCATGGCGATTTTGTCTCCATTTTCAGCAGAGGCTGGCATCACAGTAGGGATTGTCTGGATAACTACCTTTGGAGAGGCTGCAGTTGTTGGGCTAGTGCTGGTTATTAATGGCGCACCTGCATTGACTGACTGAACTGCCACAGTTGAAATTTTCTGACCCAACGACGTCATTACAACAGGAACTTGCATTGCCACACGAACTGTCCTAGTAAATTAAAAAAAAAAAAAAAAGTTGATTGTATTTAATAATAAATTAGATAAGAGGTCCCAAGCAAAAGATGAGTGCAAATACAAAATGAGGAAACCAATGTTCCCAAACTACACATATGTATTGACAATCCCTGACATTTAGAATATGAAATACCATGAAACAAATATATTTAAAAAACTAAAGCCCACATTAAGTTTCATCTATAAAACCATAAAAACCAACTAAGGTTAAATGAGACATCACCTACTTTAACAACAACAACAAAGTACATTTAAAATGTCAGGTACTTTTCAGCCCTGACTGGTGTGGCTCAGTGGATTGAGCATTGTCCTACAAACTGAAGGTTGCCAGTTCGATTCCTGGTCAGGGCACACTCATGGGTTGCAGGACAGGTGGTGTGCAAGAGGCAACCAATGGACATTTCTCCTGCACACCAATGCTTCTCTCCCTCTCTTTCTCCCTACCTTGCCCTCTCTCTAAAAATAAATAAATAAAATCTAAAATAAGATAAAATGTCAGGTACTTTTCAAAGTCCTGACTAATAGTGAATTCTTAGAATGCTAATATTAAAAAAAAATGTATTGTTTTGCCAAGGAGTTTTCTAAAAAGCTAATGCAACCACCAGTTTCCCTCTCTTACCTTGGAGCTGCTGTTGCTGACACAGAGGTGGTAGTAGTAGGAGACCTGGGCGAAGCATCATGACCAGGGGAAGTGATGTTCACAACTCTAGCCACTCCCTTCTCCGCTCTGGAGCAGTTTAGAGGAGATGAGTTTTTCCCACCACGAACAGAGGTTGCTTTCAGCAGACTTTCTGCAGACAGTGACACTCGTTCTAATGATTTTTCATCAGTAGCTGCTGCTAAATCTTCATTACAGGTTTCACTCTTGTCATCATCTATGACCACTATGTTTTTGGGCATGTCCTTGAACTGATACACAAGCCTCTGTCCTTCAACCTTTGCAAGAATGCCCCTTTGGTAATAATACCTGGAAGGAAAAAAGAACTAAATGAATCGAGTATATTACATTCCCCACCTCACCCGCTGGCCCCCAAAAAGCAAACAATAACAAACACCATGCAGAATGGACACTAACTGAAACATTCACTATTTCTGTAAGATAAGGAGTTCTTCCTGCCTTGACTGTTCAAATGGCTGAGAATGAAGTAGGAATGGAGCTGGAACCTGTTGCCATAGGTACTGTAACCTTGAGATATATAAAGTAGCTAAAAGTTCCTTCTTAAAGGAAGTAATATAACCTAAATACAGACGAGTTTACTGTATTTTACAAATACTGGTAAAAATTCAACTCTGATTTACACAGGTTAAAAAAACAATCCGTTGTATGAAAAAATTAAGCTGTACTTAGTAGAGATGAATGTGGGGTACGTAAAATACTGTCACATAAAGTATGTGGTTCCTTTAAAAACAGTCTTAATTAGAAGCCATGTACACTACAAATTTTGTGGGTTTCACAAACTGACAAAACAAAAACTTTCATGTCAAGATAAATCTATAAAGGATTCTATACACAAATTCACAAGAACTGAAACAAACTAACAATTTGGAAACTGTTTTGTTTGGTTTAATTTTCTTAAATGTCTACAACTTAACTTCGTATTAAGAAATAGCCCTAAGTGTAAAAAGCACATTTTCTGCAAAAATGGATTTTCCAATCATGTTGAAATTTTAGACACCCAGGCCAAACTCCTCTTTCCCATCTATCTCCAAATCTAAGAGCTCCCTACAATATGACCCCAAAATTAAAAGTTATAATAAATAAAAGATTTCCACAGCTTATTTTTAAACAACTGACAATATACAGAGGTATGTAAGTTTTGTCCAAAAACTCATTCCCTTGTGCTCTTACCTTAAAGCTCGTCCCATCGTTTCATAGTTCATGTCTGGCTTGTTCTTATGCTTTCCCCAAAGTTTCGAGACAGCCTTTGAGTCTACGAGCTTGAATATGCCTTTTTCTCTCTGAGTCCACTTAATATACCGGGGACAAGTATTTTTATCTTGAAGTAGATCTAAAAGAAACTCCCACAAATAGGTTGTGTTTCCTTTGAAAACAATGATAGACATTGATTAAAAATTCATTAACATAATTAAATACATAATTAAAAGCAGATATTTAATTATGCTGGATAAAAATCAATTCATTTGCTACTGGTGAAACCAATGTACTAAGAGCATGTCATTAAGTGAATGACTTGACTAACAATCTTTGTCCAGTGTCAAATTGTGTTGTCTAGCAATAATAAAGTATCTTTCATTATAACAAAATTCACAAATATAGCTGTTCGCTGGATTTTTAAAACAACATCCTATGTAACTTTCTAGTCATGATATTAATATAATAGAGACCCTAAATGTTTCCTCTCATATCACCCTATCCTAGATTATGAGTTCAGTAAAGGCAAAGCCATAACACATAGCACAAAGTGAACCCAAAACAGAATCATTATTTGTTAATGTACAGATTTAAACTCTGAATAAATTTATTCAAACCTATATATTTATTATATAAGCCCAAATTCTACAATCAAAATTTATCAAAAGGCATTTTTTAATTTATTGAAAAGACAAGTAATATGCAGTGAAATTGGCAAAACCTTTAGGCATTGTGGTCTTGCAGTTTTTTTTGTAAGAAACACATTTTTCTTTGAGATACATATGCTATAAAGTGCAAACTACACATAAGCCTTTAAAACTTATCACCTTTATCAATAAAAACCACTGCCTCTACAAAGAGATTTTTAAAAATTGCTAATCTTTCTACAGAACATACTCAGTTTAGTTGAAGGTAATATATTAGAAGGATTTCATTATATATGAACAGCTCAGTTATAAAAGACATTTATGCTTCAGTCTTAAAATATGATCTTAAATAGAAACACTAGAAAGTAATATGGCAATTCTTTAGTCAAATATTCATCAAATGTTAAACATGACATTTGATCACACTACTCACAAAATTTGAAAATGAGAAAATATTGAAATATTTTTGAAGAATAAAATACTTATTCATCACATACTATGCTTAAGAGTAGTAGGAGATACTGAGAAGCTTTTAAAAACTGATCCCTGACTCAAGAAATGTGTAATTTGGGGGGGTTCGGGGGAGGGCAGGGAATGGTAGATGACAAGTTAAATGACAACATAAGAAAGAAATAACAGTATGAAACCAGGAAAGACACATCACAAGGCAATGTATAATTCTATTTCAAATGAATGACAGAATATAATGTTTGGGATTTCAGGTGTAATAATAAAGTATATTAAAAGACATCGTGAAGACTTAGAAGATGGCTAAGATTTGCATACAGGGAAAGGAACTTTACAGGTAAACTAAGGAACTTAATCCCAAAAGGAAGAAAGCACCCCTTTCTTTTCCTTTGGAACAGGGTGAGTGGGGGAAGGAGGTGGGCAATGGTTATGAGAAGATCAGGCTTTACAGGCTGCTGTGTTTTTTTACTCCTTCCTAAGCCTCTAGGTACAGAGGTTCTTAAGTCAATGAAGGAATAGACGAGAATCCTGAGGAGAAGAGTAGAACACACAGGCCACCACTGAATCACCAGGTCACCTCTGGGCTCCTACTCACAATCCCTTTACTATCCTCAAGTCCACATCCAAGTTACAGACCCCACGAGAAGAACCTCTAAGGGTGGGGGGGCTTTCGAACCAAGCCGCTGCTCCTCAACCTAACCCTTAAAATGTTCTTCCTCTAGCATTTCCTTTTCAACAGGTGGTAACAGTTCTGCAGAAGAGGAAACACTGGCTGGATTCTTAACCCAGGTGTGACTTGAATAATTTTAATCTTCACATTACAAAATGCTGCCTAAATTTTAATGAAGGCCAAAATTTTAAAGAAAGGTCATTTTATTGGTAAAAGTAGGTCATCACAGTTTTACTCCATTGTTAAGCATAAGGTTTTTGAATACAAGAGATACCACTGATGATGGGAATTACTTAAAAAACAGTAGTAACAATTTATAATTACTATGTATTTAGCTTTCTGATATTTACTACAATTATGTCAGTTTTAAAGTTTTCAGTATAAATTAAAAAATAAAACATAAGATGTTAGAAATGTAAATGAAGAAAGACAAAAAAGGAAATGAAAGTACTCTAAATCTGTCCCAAGTTGAATTACCAGTTCTAAACAAATTACGAGTTCACTGTAACTGGATTTTTTTTCCCTAAATTTCTTGGTATGCTTACTTGAGACTTTTTACTTGGATTATTTAAAATTAGATACATCAGACCACCTGTTGAGGATGCAATAATTTGAATATATTAATCCAAAATGAGCCAACTACTGAATATTGGTCTGGAAACTTTTATTCATGGAAGTGATAAATTTTTAGTTAGATTACCAGAACATACCTCAAACCATTATTAAAGTATTACTTGATATCAACTTAACCAACAAATTAGGAGAGCACAGAATATAAGAGACTTGTTGCTATTTTTGTTCATAATGAGAATATATAAATTCTAAAATAAAAACTGGTAAATTTTTATTCTGATCTCCTGACATGAGTTGAGTGGGAAATGAAATTCAGCTTGCCTTTAATTATTGCACTGCTTCTATCAGTTAAGAAATTGTGTTATCAAAACTAAGTCTTAGTTGTAAACTTCTTTCAACTCTAAGTGGCAGTGCATGAGGGCAGGTGCTGTTACACACACACGCCCTCTAGAGAAGCGTGTGCAGCAGGCTGCGCTTAGGACCTTTCCCCCATATGAACGCCCACTCCCTTGCACTCCCCTAGCATGTCTAGGGCTACAGAATCCCAGTGGGGTGGGGTCTGGGTACAGACAGTGTAAAAAATTCCTAGGTGATGGTGACACATCCCTATTGATAAGTAGGACTAAAGACAGTACTTCCACATGGGCCTGTACTAAAAGTAATTTTCTGACAAATGCAAAAATGTCACCTGACTGGAAAAAAATCATTTAGTCTCCAAAATAGCCCTCCCCAAATTACCTTTTCCTTCTCTGGGTTTCTTCTTTATCCCCAACTCAGGAGACCCATTGGAAATTGGTGATTGTTGGGTCTTTGGTTTACGGCCAACTGAAAAAATAAGATATTGAAAGTATACATTAAAAACAAGAATGAGCATTTTTAGCAGACTCTTTGATTACACATTATTCATGAAAATGGACACCAATTTGCAGACTAATATATTCAGTATATATAAAAAGTCTCATTTAAAAGGACCACGAAAAGCACTTCTACAACTTCAGATTATGGCAGTTAGCTCGTAGTAATCTCAACGTATATATATGGCAAGTCAGGTACTACTAACCTATTATTCACATGATCAGAGCCTCAATTTGCTAATAACATGGCAATGGAAACAGATTCTACCATAAACGTTTTTATTTCCTGTCCTATAGGATTGCTTTAAAAAGTTTTACAGCAGAGGATCTGATAATCTGTGAAGTTCTTTGAGCTCAAATGAGGAAAGATAAAAAATATTTTAAATGCTCACTACAGCTCTGAGTCGGTCAATTTACCAGAATTTAAGCATTAAGTATTTAAATTTCCCCATCTCGCCCTGGCTGGTGTAGCTCAGTGGACAGAGCGCAGGCTTGCAAACCAAGGGGTTACTGGTTCGATTCCCAGTCAGGGCACATGCCTGGGTTGCAGGCCTGGTCCCCAGGACAGGGCATGCAAGAGGCAACCACGCATTGATGTTTCTCTCCCTTTCTTTCTCCTTCCCTTCCCCTCTCTCTAAAAATAAACAAATAAAATCTTTAAAAAAGAAAAGAGAAGACGACAAAAAAAAATTTCCCCCATCTCAAACATGGAGGTACATTGTAAGGGTAGGAAAATCTTCCAAGTCATTATTTAATGTCTAGGTAATGTTTATGTTCTTACTTTTATTTCTCCTCACTTCTGTCAGAAGACTCTCTCGAACTAGCATCCACAATGAACAGAAAAGCAAGAGCTGTACTGCTCTACCCTAAAGAAGGTATAAGCCTGAAACGCACTGTATTCAAACCCTCAGCACTGATGAACGAATGCTGGCAGCTGGTTGGAAGCCTCAAGGGAAGAGGTTGGGAATATTCAAGTATATTATCCAGTAGTGCAGGAGATACATTCCAAGATCCCCAGTGGAGGCACGAAACCATGGAAAGTACTGAACCCTGTATATACTATGTTTTCTCCTACAGGTACATACATACCACACATACCTTTTCATTTAAAGAAAACACTTAATGGCTCTCTTTGGCATATCCACCATCATTACTCTTGAGCTTTGGGGCCATTAAATAAAATAAGGGTGGCTTGAACACAAGCACTGAGATACCATGACAAGCAATCTGATAACTGAGATGGTTACTAAGTGATTAATGGGCAGTGAGCATATACAGCGTAAAGACACTGAACTAAGGAATGACTCACATCCCAGGCTGGACAGAGTAGGAAGGCTCAAGATTTCATCACGCTACTCAGAACTGTGTGCTATTCGAAACTTATGAACCATTTATTTCTGGAATTTCCCATTTAATGTTTTAGACATGGGTTGACTAAAACTATAAAAGGCAATACCACAATTTTCAGATTAAATACAAGCACACTTTGTTTTATTGTACCTGGCTTTATTGCGCTTTGCAGACATTGCAGTTTTTTTAGAAATAGAAGGTTTATACTTGATCTTAGCCAAAAGGCCAAAGAGTGACTACAAATAGGTTTAAAGCTGAGCACGTCCACTGGCATCATTTTTCCAGTAGCAACTGCTCCCCTTCTGTCTCTGTCACATTTTGTTAATTCTCACAATGCTTCAAGCATTTCATTATTATTGCATTTGTCATGGTGATCGGTGGTCAGTGATCTTTGATATTACTTTAATTGTTTTGGGGCGCCATGAACCGCACCCCCATAAGCCAGTGAACTTCATTGATAAAGCTGTGTGTTCGGACTGCTCCAACTACCAGATCCCCATCTCACTCCCTCTCCTCAGGCCTCCCTATTCTGAGACACAGGATATTGAAATAAATAACCCTATAATGGCCTCTAAGTGTTCAAATGAGAAGAAAAGAAAAATCAATGTAGCAAACCGAACTGTTGTCTCAGTTTAAGAAACTGCCAGAGCCACCCCAGCCTTCAGCGACCACCACCCTGATCAGGCGGCAGCCGTCGGCATCTTGGCAAGACCCTCTACCAGCAAGAAGACTCCACCTTGCTGAAGGCTCAGAATCTGATGGATAGCAATTGTTCGCAATATTTTTAAAGTATATACATTTTTAGATATAATGTTGTTTATTGCACACTTAATAGTGTAAACATAACTTATATGCACTGGGAACAAAAAAATCCATGTGACTAACTTCACTGCAATACTGGCTTTACTGCAGTGGTCTGGAACTGAACCTGCAGTATTTCTGCGGTCTGCCTGTGTATTATTACAGGTTTGGTAACTGTCATAACCTGGGATTTATGATGTCACTCTACTCTTCCTCAGCAAGGACTATTTCCATCCAAATAAAGAACTAAATTAAAGTATCTTAATTTACATTAAAAAATGCACAGCTACTACATTCTAGGATTTCATTATGATAATTCTAATCAATAAGTATGCTTTGCCAAAATTAAAACAAAGTTCACTGGCCTCCTCATTAAAATAGAGCTTAATTTCTCAATTGAAATAATATATGTACAAATCAATCAGAAATAATATTAACATTGTACTGTCTCCTAAATTCAAGCACAAAAGCCACTCCCTTAATGGAAAGGTTAGCCCCAAAAAACTTAATTTATTTTCTTATACAAGCAGCACTTTTCAAATGATATTCCTGAGAAACAAATAATTTATCAGTAGGGAGAAGGGTTCTACACTCAAATGAACTTTTGGAATACTGCATGCTATCTTCTCTTAGAAACTCAAAAGACACATTAGTGTATTAAAGGCTCTATAAATACAAAATGCTGTGCTATTAAATAACCTACAACTGTATAACCCAATTGTACTTGACCATAAATAAATAATCCTATATGTAATTTTTAAGTGGTCATTCAAGCCATCTGTTTTTAAAAATCTAAAATCAGTATACTGAATTGGCAAATTATTTCCAGGTTTATGTCAAAACACATAGGCTAACTCCATGTACCAACGTATTTATCCAGAGGTCTTGGTTCCCTAAATGAGCACAGCTTTTGATGGCCTTTTCCATCTTCTTCCTTTTTTTAAATTTTTAAATTGTTTTTAACCAATTAAAAATAAGTATTAACATATGACACTTTTTTTTTTAAATCTAAAAATTCCTTGTGCTTACTTCGGCAGCACAAGAACAATACAGAGAAGATTAGTATGGCCCCTAGGGGGAATAAAGGCTAAAAATTTCTTAAGCATTTTGTCATACCTTCCAGTGGATAGAACCAGCCAAAGGTTACCTTGGGCAGTGGGCTATTCATATGTATGTCTTTTGCTTTTAAACATTTATAGCAGGAAGTGATTCTTCCTTCTAAATTCTCATTCACACCTCTCTCAAAGTACAATTACTGTTATGGATTACATGAAGGAAGGCATTGTCTTATTCTTCATTGTATCCCTAACAGTAATTAGCACATACCCGTGAACATTACAGCAATCTAAAACCCTTCTAACAACTGAAAAGAAAACAGCATTATTTTTAGTGTTTTCCTTTATTTTTGCTTTTGATTTTTTTCCATTCTAAAATGTGAAGAAAGAGGAATTAATGAGTACCCATTTATATAGGATTTTGTTTCTTTCAAGCTTTACCTTTTACTCAAAGAGGAAAAGACCCCACTTGCTGCGCATCCTGCACCCTCAGGATGTTAGGGGTGTGCTGGAGCCCGTGCCCCACCCACCTGCCAGATCAGGTGACAAGTCTCAGCAGCAGTCAACTCAGCTGAAACACTCTTTACCCACTGGTGAGTTTATTTCACTTGTAAGTTCCTACTGGCAATCTTAGTTTTAAAAGACGGTGTGGAAAACAAAATTGGGCTATTATTTTTAATCCCCACAAAAGAGTAGAAAGTAAGATTATGAGAAACAGAAAAGATTAAATTTCTTTTAAAAAGCAACCAAGATCAAAAAGTATACAAATGTGCAGTGCATCCCCATTTTTCCTTCTGTGTGTCCAACACCTGTTTATAACCTCATTTTCAGGCAACTGCTTTTAGGGTTTAAATACTAACTCTCTCAAAACAGTACGAGTATGTTAAAATACAAAATTAAAAGTTTAACTTGTTGATTCTTTGAGAATATCTAGTTATGGTAACATCAATCATAAATCTATAGTATATATTTCCTACATCCCTTGATAGGGAAAACGATATCAGAAGAAAATGTCACCCACTTTCCCAGAAATTTGTAACTATACCCTACCTTTTTTCTTCTTCATCGGTTCATGGCTGTCCGGTGACGTGGGAACAGGAGAGGTGTCCATTGGTTCAGACTCCTCAGTTGACACCTCCACTACAGTCTCTGTTATGACGTCTGGCCTCATAGCAGCATGGATAAATTCTGGAGTTGATACACAAGGAGGGACAAACACTTCCACTATAAAAAAAAAGTTGAAAAATTTAAAAATTTCCCACCCCCATTAAATGCTTCTTATAGTGGACAATTCAATATTTAGTAGAGAAGAGGTTTATTAAGCATTCATCAAAGCAGGACAAGCCTTGAAGTTAACATGCAATATGATCTAAAGTATGTCAGGAATAAAAATGTAAGAAAAATGAACTTGAAGGAAATGTTAATCCTCTGAGTTAGGGAGGGGTGAGCAGTAACCCTCTGGTTCCTTACACTTTTATACACAGGTCGGGGCAAAAGTGGGTTTGCAGTTATTCATATGGAAAATAATACAATAATAAACTCTGTGTTTCACATACAACTGTAAACTTATTTTCCCCCACTCTCTGTTTTCAAGCTCACTGTACAAGACTTATTTTGACAACTGGAAAAACATTTGAAAATAAAATAGTGAGTTCATTAATAATTACTTTCCTTCCACATACCCATCATTATTCTCTTGGTAATTCATGCACATGTTATAAAATTTAAAACACTTAATAAAGGTGATTTCAGTAACATGTAAGCACTTCTAGTTCACTTTAAAATACGGGATTTCAATGACAAATAAGCACTTATAGTTCATTTTAAAATACAAATAAAAGGAAAATCTGCTCATTACAGTGCAGTGAGTATCATCTTTTGATATTTAAAACTTTACTTAACGAACAGTCCTGGATTTTGGGTCACTAAAACAGTACATACAGATTGGTACTTAGTACTGCATTACATACAACAATGTTGCTCTGGCTTCCTTCCAATGTGTGCAAATAATCAGGAAAAGACATTTCTATTTCGATTAAATCGTTAACACACACTTTCATGGACGAATACATATCCTAATTTTCTTCTCTTATCTGTGAGTACATAAGATTCCTATTCTACTTTACAAGTCTAGGTGCTCTTAGTATCTCTTGAAAAACCCTGTAAGAAGGTCCAAACTTACTATAAAATAGCATCTGAATGTTAAAATTAGGACAAATTGAAAATTAGGAGAACATAACTCTCGAAGGCAGTCTTCAAGGGAAAAAAGGGACCAAAAGAAAAGGAAAACTCTCAGCCTGAAGGGAGTGTGAGGCAAGGGGGATGCTACCCCTTCCCTCTACAATGGACGGATTCCCTGGAGTCACTGCCTATTTATCACTGAATAAAGAATTGAAACTGGTCCTGGCCAGTGTGGCACAGTTGGTTGGGGGTTTGAGAGAGGGAACTGATTGATGTTTCTCTCCCTTTCTTTCTCCCTCCCTTCCCCTTTCTCTAAAAATAAAGAAAGAAATAAAGTCTGTTTTTAGAAATTTAATTCTTGATACATACAGTGGTGTGTCATGTTTATGTAAGGAAGGGCAGTTCACATACCAGGACTTCTGGAATCCCTCAAGCAGGTAGGAGATTCCATATGAAGCAGGGCTTCAGCAGCTTCAATCGTCTTATCTGTACAGTGTGCATTACTGCTATGAACTGATGCTTCCACTGGGGGGGAAAATAAGTTCTACTCAATTAAAAATGCACTGAACACATGACAAAATTTAAACGCATTGCTGTAGGTGATATAAATATAAATTAACTTTCATGTGCATAACTCTAAGTCATTGGCATTTTAGTCTATATAAAATATTTACAGAAATACTTTAAACACCAAAACAATCTAGTATTCTCATCTTATAAAATGAATGCCAGTTATAAAGCAACTATCAAGATTAACTAGAAATTATTGAGAAATTTCTGAATTCATCCAAAGGACAACAAAGAAAAACTCCTGAAATTTTAAAATTGTATCAATTATAGGTCAAAACTAACCTAGGCAGAAAAAACATGCTTGTGCATTAATACTATAATAAAGATCAATTATGTATTTTAAAATACTGTTACTAAAATTAGGGGTGATACATATTAGAATTGATCAGAAACACTTATCTAAGTTAATTTAACGAATCAGTTCAATCCCTACACACCCTCCTTGGTGAGTACATTAGCTGCAGCACCAGAGTACTCCGGAACATTCTTCACAATAACCTTGCCCTCTCTCCTTCATGACCTCACTGGACTTTGCTGGGTTTTATCAAAGAAATTCTTAGAGGTTTTATGAGGTTTTTTTTCATGAAGCCTTTTCTAACCATACTGCCTTTTGTAACTTTCTCCAAGCACTTAGTTTATGCTTTGCTGATTAATAAATTACTTGTGAGGCAGTAAAGTGTGCAGCAGTGGTTGGGCTTCCAGGTCCACGGGCCTGTGTTCTAGTCTCTGCCCCTTGTAATTTTTGCTACCCTAAGCCAGCAATTTAATTTCTTGTAAGGCTGGGTTTCCTCTGTCACGAATCAGTAGTATTCCTTACCTCATACAGCTGTGAGAATTAAGTGAGGAGACTCCCACAAAAACACAGATAAGAATTCGGTAAGCAGTGATAATTTCTTATCACTCTGGTTAAGATTATAAAGCCTTTGATATCAGAGAGACTATATTAATTCATCTTTATATCAGTTATAGTTCCTAACACAGACTTTTCATACAGTAGGCATGCAAGTGTGTCTTTTATGTATTGAAGTTAAGAACCCACCAACCTTAGAGAAAAAATAGGCAATTGAAGCACAAATGTATTATCTTAATGAAATATTAATTTCACATCCTGACTTAAAATATTGAATCTTCTACTTGGTAAATGGTTCTGAAACATGGGTATATATGTTTCCAAGTTAACATATTTCCCTGAAGATGTCCTCTAAAACTAATAGGATGTATTTATATGAATTTTATAAAACCATATTACAAATTCACAAGTTCTACACACTAAAGATATGAATCTTTTAAAAACTGTTTCCAGGAGACTTTTAATTGAAAAACAAAATTCACTTAATCTCAAAATTCCCCAAATGCTAAAGGCTCAGCCTTAAATATCAGTCATTTGGAGAGCATTTGTTAAAAAAAAAAAAAAAAATCCAGTGACTTTTACCACCTGTTGCACATCATCCACACTCTCAACCAAGGTACTGGGTCTCTCCAGTTGCTCTTTCCATTTATGGAAATCTGCTCAAAGCTAAACGGTTCCAGAGAGGCAGCCAAACCTCTAAGTAAATCTATCTTTAGGTGACCCTGCTTACTCTTATCTGCAGCTTCACTGAAGCAAAGGATTCAATCAGTGCTTCCAGCTCAACTTTAAGAAACTTAATTATTAGTAAGTATAAAATACATTGCAATTCAAGTATTTTTTTCAAAGTACCTCCCTATAAATACTCACATACAATAAAGAACCTGGTAAGCAAATTCACAGGTTTTGAAAATTCACGCTAGGAACTTCATTCTTTTTAAAGTATGCCTGTGTTGCAATTTAGCTGTTGTCTTAGGTGCTATTAATAAACTGTCCTGGATAAACTAATTCCTTATGTAATTGTATTAAGACGAAACCTAAAACTACCACATTAAAATCAGAGCATCAAATATTTGATAATACAGCAACAGAATTCCACCAGATATTTAAATTAGGAGCAAATGAAATTTGCCTAAATGTTATATATTATACTACCTGAGTTCCTATGTAGTTTGAGACAGCATTAATTTCATATTAGTTATATGAGTGGAAATTATTTTCTAGCTCATATTTCTGACCTCAACATACTATTATTATTTCCCAGAAATATTTCATATTTATAGATTAAAACAAATAAAAGATATACAAACTTAAAAAGAAACTTTCCTTATTTATGCTTTAACTTTAGAATGAGAATAAAGAAAATGCATACCTTTTCTATGAAGTACCAATCAGAAGATCTAATACTCTATGTGCAGTCAACAAATGGTTGGTTGAGCATTCATCACGTGCCAGACCCTACGCTACAAACCTGAGATACACATGTGACCAGATTGCTGGCCTTATGAAGCTTACGCTGATAGTTCAGAAAGTGTCAAAAGAAAGTAAAACATTTGAAAGCTAAATAAAAGTGCAAAATTAATTTAAAGTTACTCTGTAAACTAACAGCTTATTAAGAGCACTGATTTCTTTTTTTGATGCTTACTGACTTTATTTAATCATTTTTACTTACCAAAATAACCATAAGCACATCCTAAAAAAAAATGAACACCTAAGAACTCACTTAGTCTACACTAATGCCCCACAATAGTTTCCAAGAATATTTCACCCATTTTATAAAAGTGAGCACTCTTTTTACTTGTCTTTCACTGACATAAGTTGAGAAGTCATTTTTGATAATAGAAATTTAAGAAATATTTCTCCTCTTCAAGTTTCTGTAGCTTTTAAAAACTTTTTAACACTACCTTCTGACCAATAAGTCAAACACAATTTAAAAATTCTGCACAACTCTTAAGGACAAACATGAGTTTTTACAATGTGGTACAATCAGCTCTGGCTGGCGTGGCTCAGTGGATTGAGTGCGGGCCTGCGGACCAAAAGGTCACGGGTTCAATTCCCAGGGCACATGCCTAGCTTTAGGGCCAGGTCCCCAGAGGGGGTTGCAATACACATTGATATTTCTCTCCCTCTCTTCCCCTCTCTCTCTGAAAATAAAATCTTTTCTAAAATGTTGTACAATTGAAGAAAGCAATCTATTATATAAGCAAGGGCTGAAAATTCCTTTTTTCTAATTTAAAACCTGATTTACTGGTGTGCACAAAAAATATGGGAGGAAATAATAAGCAACTCGCTTTAAAAAAAGAAACAGTGACCCAAAAGTTAATCTGACAGATATTTTCCAGTTAACACTAGTAGTTGGTGTTGCTGGTTTAATACTCCTTGAAGAAATAAATGTATCAAATAAATTTCAAAACTATTTTATTTTAAATCATAGTGCCATTAAATTTGCTTACGCCTTCCTTTACTATTGGTGAGAGTCTGTTTCTTATTCTGTTTCTAGCTTTCTAATCAACTGGTGTTTGTATGGTAGACTATTCCAGCCTCACTCAACAGCTGTTACTAAATACCAAACTTGGTAATTAAGTCTGACAAGAGACATACCTCTCAGCTTTGCAGAAGAGAATGCTGGCAATGGATCTAGCTCATAACAATGTTCTTAAAGTCAAAAGTAAAAAATAACAGCAGTTTAATTGAGAGCAGTGGGAAAAAATTAGAAAACACTTCATTAAATGAGAGTGGCATTCTCCTCCAAGCAAGACCATAAACTAGCATTACAAGGTCATCACTAAAGTACCACACCTGACTCACCACAGCTTCTCCTCTAATGCCCCGCGGCTATAACCTAACAGGTGAGTGAAGAATACAAACGGAATGCAATGAAAAGAGGGGAAAGGTGAAAGATCTGGGACATTCCACCTTTACCTGTTCCCCTCTGACTTTCTAATCAATATAGTTGTGCTACAAGGTTTAAAGGGGAAAAAGAAAAAGATTATAAAGTAGAGCTGTCTAATAAAAATATAACATGAACTACATAATTTAAAATTTCCAGTAGCCACACTAAAAAAAAGCAAAAGGTTAAATTAATACTTTTTACTTAACCCAGTATATCCAAGATATTGTCATTTCAACATGTAATTGGACGTAAGGTTTTCCACTGCATCAGCTTTTACATTTAAATAAAATTTTTTTTAATTAAAAATTTAGTTTCTCAGCCACATTTCATGTGCTAAATAGGTCATGTGGCTAGTGGCCACATTACTGAAAAGTGTTGCCTACATAAAACTGTATTTCAGCTATTTTCAAACCTTTCTGGTAAAAGGACCCCATTACACCCGAATTATTGAGGACTGCAGAGATTCTGTTTGTACAGACCTATGAACATTTATCCTATTTGAAATTTATCCTATAAGAAAACTTTAAAAATGTATATTAACTCATTTAATAAACCCAATACCTGTAAATGCAAGTAATATTTTTATTCAAAATAACCTTTCTAAAATAAAAAAAATAGTGATTAGCTTTATTTTACACTTCTGCAAATCTTCTAAATACATGGTAGATAACAGCTGGACTCCTATTTGCTTCTTAATTCAATCTGTTGTAATAGCCTCCAGAAAACTCCTCTGAGCACTTCTCAAAGTGAAAGGTAAATAAGGTGTTAATATTATTATGAGAACAATTTTGACTTAACAGACTTCCAGAATCCCCAAATCAGAAATTTTAGTTTCGTAGACTTTCAGCTGTAATTTATCAGATATGATTAATAAACACCCAAATTCTATCCTCATGTTTCTGTAAGTTTTAGCATCTGAACATAAACATCAATGTATAAAATGAAAAATTATTATTCCATTTCGATAAGCACAACAGTATTTTTGTCCACTTATACATAAAAGATTTTTTAAATTTTTCATAAATATTTCACTGCACCCTTTTAAATATTTACCCTATAGTTAATAGAAAGAATTTGAATAATTATCAAGAACACTCTCATGCCTGCCTCTCTCCAAACAACCAAATCTGTTTCTGAAAAAAATTGTTTTATGTTGAATTATCCTTACTGACTACACTGATGTTACTCTTTAACTCAGTTTTTATATGAATTTTA